CTAGTTTAATTTTTGTTAATTTTAATCGCATGGAAAATTAAAATGCAATTTAACAGCTTCAAGCCAAATATCTTGGTTTTAACACTACATTACTAAAATTAATATCTATTTGGAAAACAAAATAATTACATTAAAAAAATTATTATAAACTATTTATAATTATAATATTATATAAAGTTGCAAACTTAATAATACATGTCRAAATTGTTACAAAAATTACAATAATTTTATTCAATGTTGTAAATGTTTATATTACACAATTCTGGGTCTACTATTTAAAGAGTTAACAAATTCCTCAATAATTTACAGCATATAGAAACTATACTCACTGTAATAATTAATATCTTATTACTTAGAGTTAAGTGAAAAACAAAATGTAATTGGTAAATCAATGTTGAATTGTGATAATTCAAAAATAAAAATTATATGATATGAAATATACTATTTTTTCAATAATTAGATTTTTTTCTTTTTTGGCTCTTTGGATTTCAACTATCGAAATGCTATTACATTAGTACAATTGGTAGTTATTGATTAGCAGGTTTACTTGCTTGGTAGTAGCAGTGCTATGGTGGGGTAATAGGAATCCAATTACCTTTCAATAAAATAGTGTTTATGCTAATAATCAATCATCTAGTAAATACATAAAACAATACAAATATTCAATGAAAAGTGTGAGTCTTTATCTTATATCTAATAGGTATTGAACATGAATTGTGAACATGTGTTAATTAATATTTGGTAGAATTTTAATGTACTCCTCAATGATAACATGCTGAAAATGTATTAATATCTCTATAGTTACTATACATAAAAAAAAATACTGACTTAATGTTTAGGTAGGTACACTACGTCATGTGGTTTAAACAATATGGACAACAATGGCTAAAGACTTATTTAAATGTTGATGTGATATAATTTAAACGACTGGATTAAATGATACATTTTTTTCACACAATTTAAACCTTAGGGATAAAGTGTACATAATAATAATCTATTACCCATGAGTTGTATCATCTTCCACAAAATCGTGTGCATCCTCCCTGGTAACACATTCCACATGGCTTACTTTATTACGGAACTTAACACCATAAAACTTATGCGCATGTTGCAGCAACTCTGGTCTAAACGTTGTAGTAATGAACTGTGCTTCTGAAGACATTTCATGTATCATATCAGCAACTGATTTCCTATGTTGAGGATCTAGCGCTTGATCGATTTCATCAAACAAGTAGAACGGGGCAGGGTCACACTTTTGAATAGCAAATATTAAACCTAACGCTACAAGAGATTTTTGACCCCCTGATAGTTGATTCATTTCCCGCATTTCACCTCCTTGTCCAACAAAAGACACTTTGATCATGACACCAGAGTAGTTACCAACACTAGTCTCGTCTCGCATATTAATTGTTGTTGACTCTTCACCTCCTACAGTTTTCATGACTAGTTTTGCATGACCAGCAGGAACAAGTTTGGAAAATACATAAGAAAAATACTTGGATACTTGCTTAAATGTTGATTGTATTGCATCACATTTTCGTTGTTCTAAGACATTCATAAGTTGTTCTATTTTTTCATAACCACGGTCAAGTTCTTGTTTTCTTGAAACAAGTTTTTCCTTTTGTTCTGAAAAATTTATAAATTGATCCAATGCTTTTTTATTGACATGGCTAAATCGCTTTAAGTGACTATTAGCTTTTTCTAACTCTTTAAATAAATTTTTTGAAGAATAGGACATATATTTAGTAACTAGATCTGTATTGGGTAGAGCTCCAAGATCGTTGATTTTAGTTTCAGACTCTTCTAATTTTTTACGTAACATTTCTTGCTTAGAGGTTACTTTACAAAGATCTTTAGATTCGTTTTCAAGTTTATCCTGAGCATCTTTTTCTTGAGTTTTCCATTTGTCTAATTCTTCTTGGCATTTCTTTTGCCTCTTAACCGCTTCGTGGACTTTGGTATCAATGTTTTTCATATCTACATTAATAGTGTCTAATTTTTTTTCTATAGCATTCAATTCTAACCTACTACTTTCTAAAGTACGTTTTCGTTCTTCAACAGATATTTCTTGTAATGCCTGTAACAATGTATCTCTACGACGAATCAAATTATTAGTTAATAGATTTTCTAATTTGTTCTTGTCTGCTTCTAATTTCATACGCATTGAAAATGCAATTTTATTCTCTTGAGTCAATTGTTTTATGTCATTATTAAGTTTATCCATTTCCTTTTGATCAGTCACAGATAATTGTGCCATAAGTTCTTGATGTAGTTCAGATTCAAGACCTGATCTTGTAGTTTGCATTGCTTCTAAATTTGAGGAGGCAGTTACAAGTAATCTTTCTTTTGTCACCCTATATCTTTCAATTCCAACCATTTCTTCTTTAATAAGCCTGATATCTCCTTTTAATTTGTCAAAATTTCCTTTAGCTTTACTGTTCTTGGTTTCAGTTTTTTGCATATCGGCCATGACCACATTAACATTCCCTTCAACATCATTTAACTGTGTTCTAAGTACAGTCAACTGTTCTTCAGAATCTTTTATTTGGGTCATTAGTTCATTACGTTGCTTTTGGATTTCTAATTTAGAACGGACATTTTTAAAATAACCTCCAGTAAGCGTACCACTTGATGATACTTGATCTCCATCAATCGTAATACAATCTAGCATACTTTGCTTCGATATACTCGTAGCTATTTCTAAATTTCGACATATCAAAGTCTTCCCAAAAATAAATCTCATAGCTTTATCTAAATGAGATTCATAATTTAATTTGTTTACCATTGGAATTGCATCTTTGGATTGTGGATATTTTATTGTCCTCGCAGTTAACCTATTAAGTGGCATAAATGTTACTTCACCAGGCAAATTCTGATTATTTATTTCTTTCAAAATTTGTGTTCCAATCTTATCAGAATCAACAATATGGAAAAACATTCTTCCACCAGCAGTCACTTCAACAGCTGTCTGTATGCTTTCATCACAATCAAAGTTTTCAATTACTTGGCCATAGTATTGCTTAGCAAGATTGGCTTGAGATCCTCCACGTTCCTTAAAAATTTCTAAAACTTTACGCACACTATCTCTTCCATTTAAAATTGCTTTACCAGCCATACTTCGAAGTAACTGGTCAGCTTTAGCTAATTCGTCTTTTAATGTAGAATAAGTTTGTTGTAAAGAACTTTCTTTACGCCATAATTCATTTCTTTGACTTTGGTATTGGTCCTTATTTTTTTTCAATTCATAGTATCGTTTATTATACTCATCGATTGCTGTTCTTTGTTTTTCTAATTCAGTTGAATTACTATGTACCAAATTTTCAAGTTCTAATAAACGCTCTGCATCTTTTTTTAAATCTTCAGTTAATTTTTCTTTATGGTCAGTTTTATCTTTAATTTGCTTAGTTAAAGATTTTAATTCTTTTTGAATCCATTGGTCCCTGTCTTCCTTGGATGCAAATTGACTTCCACGTCCCTGTTTAGCATATAATTCCTTACGCTTCTGTTCTTTAAGTGCAAGTTCTCTAGTACAACTTTCTTCTTTTTTCTTTTGAGCTTCATATTTGGGTTTTATTTCTTGCAAGTCTGCTTCTTTTGTTTTAATAGTTTCTTGTAATTTTTCTAACTCTCTGACAGCCCTTTCTCTAGAATTATTATCACCTTGCACTTCATCAGTAAGATCTTTAATTGTAAAATCTAATTTGGTTTTTTGCTTTATCAATTCTTGTTGTTCTAAATTTAAAGTATCTTTATCTTCTTTAACACTATGTACTAAGCGTTTGGCATCACGTAAGTGTTTGGTTGATTTTTTAGCTTCATGAGCTGCTTCTTTTACTTTGGCAGTAAGACGTTTTTGTTCTTCGTCAACATTACTCATTCGGCTGTCTAATTCTTCTAATTTCCTTTGAGTTTCTTTAAGTTCTCTATCGTGAATACAATATTCTAAAGTTCTTCTTTTTTTATCCCATACTTGATATTCTTTTAACTCTTCCTTTTCCTCCTCCAACGTACTTAAACGATCTTCAATAGTTTTTATGAATTCTACTATTTTATCTAATTTTGTCTGAGTGTCTTTTAATATCTCAATTGATTCTTCTTTCCGTTCATCATACACACGAGTGCCAGCTACTTCTCTCAATAACTTGAGTCTATGTGAATCAGGGGATGTTGCCATTTGATTGATTTTACCTTGCTTCACAATATAATAAGGATTTGAATGAGAAAATCCAGCAGATTCCAATAAATTAGTAACATCACTTCTTGGTACCATTTTTTTATTTAGGAAATATTGGTCTTTCTTAACACCAATAACCCTTCTTAAWACTACCTCTTCTTTATCAATTGGAAGTCGATTGTCTGTATTGTCAAAAATGATCTCTACATAAGCAGAATTGACTTTAGGTCCAGTACCTTCATGTAACAATGCTTGACGTTGTTCTGGACGAAGATGAGAAAACTCATCGCTAAGCACAAATTGAATAGCATAAAAAAAATTACTTTTTCCAGAGCCATTACGACCAACTACAACATTGTGTCTCTTGTCAAATGGTTCAACAACTGTTTGTTCACGGTAACTCTTGAAACCGTGAATAATTACTTGTTTAATAAACATGGTGTTTCTTAGTATGTAACAATAGCGATGAGTATTTTATGGGAAAACCGTGTACGGAGATTATGTTTTTGAGTTTTCATAGTGCCCGTCATTAGTGTTTTATTTTCATTTTCATTGTCTAAAAATCATAATTAACAAATTATTATAATACATTCTCAAGTGGTGATTATATTAATTACCTGTGTTTAACATAATTAGATATCTTAAATTAATTTTAAACTTATTAAAATTACGAGTCGGATACAAATATTCAGAAATTAAACATGAATGTAAAATATATTAAAATAAGTCTTTCAAAAAGTCGGTAAACTAGCCAAGCTGTATTAAAGATTTTAAGACAAGAAATTGTGTTTTGTTTACAATTTTTCAATGATAAGCAGTGCTACCGTAATGAAAAATCGAAGTCTGCCACTCTGCCAACATTATCTTTAAAATAATAATCTGCATTTAGGTAGATAATAATAATTATGTAAATACTAAATACTATAGACATATTATTACTATAATATAGAGTAGACAGTCGTTGGCTATCTAATATCTAATTTATTCTACATATCAGATTCTGTGCTCCGAATATTMAATCTTTAATTCAAGGTATTTTAATGTCCTTGGAGCTTATGTATTTATCTTATATCAGTTTATTGTGTTATCAACTTTCAAAAGGGTAAGTTTATTACTTACTGCCAATATTGGCTTTATGCAATCGCCAATCGCTAAAACTTACCAACATTCGGTATCGGTATTCGGTATAAGTTATTACTACTCTTTTGTCACTAATTCAGGTTAAAACTTAAAACAGAAAAGTGTCGATCACTAGAATAATAAATTAAATATTTAAAAAAAAAGATTTCCGATCACTAAATATGTTAAATTTGAAACGATTTTCAAAAGTGAGTATTTCATAATTAAAATAGGTACTCTTTATATACACGAAATGAGAGCAATGATTATAATTTTTTTTCCTTGTCAGGTTTCATCTTATACTAACCTTCAATTTGGGAAGTCTGCTTTAGTGCATAAGGATATATTGTGCTACAGATTTGTTCATGCGAATCCCTCAAGTTCTGGGTATGCTAGCATCACAKTATAGACACTTTGATTMATTTTACATTTTATTAATTTTCTATTTTGTTGGCAGAAAATCAAATGTAGGAAAATATGCACTGGGCTCATTAATATTTGGATTTAGTACCATTGTTGTTTATGCAAAATATGACACAAAATTTAGACAGTGGTTAAAAACTAATGTTTATGGTTCAGATGAACTTATAAAATTATTATTATTTGAAGATAAACCCATATATAACATACCAAACAGTGAGAAACCCAAGTGAGTATTTTGATTACTAAATAAATGTTTTATTGTATAAATCACTAAAAACCTAATTATTCGTCAGATTTATCTATAATTAAAATTATAATAGATTTTAAGATGATGTGATATCCACATATATTGTTTACATTTGATAACTGCGTCACATATCAAATTGTATGCTGATCAGATCATGTTTAGGTTCGTTAGTTTAAAATTTAGAGTGAATTGACTCTTATWAAACATTAAGGTAAGGTTATTATCTAGTCGATCTCATAGGCGTTTTATCATATTTTAATTTAAAAGCGAGTTATGTGTATTTAAAAATTTAAAAATATTTTAATACTCAAACCTCTAGTTAAAATTAAATTATAATAAAAGGCCTATGAGATTGACTAGATGATAATCTTACYTATAATTTTATAATTCATCAATTCACTCTAAATATTAAACTAACAGAACTATCATGTTAGGAAGTATCAAATTAATTAATTAAGTACTAAAAACCAAGCTAATGAAAATATTGATCTTTTTTTGAATTTCCTACTGTTAGTTGATAATGTGTTTTAATCTAATTTAATACTAGATATAGGTACTTACTTATAGGATTTAAAATTATTTAAAATATCTATAATATTTAACATTAATTTATATKTGTATTAATTTTAGACTAGTTTCTCCAACTATTAAATATGATATGAATGTCAATAAAACAACATCTTCAAACCTTGAACCAAAAGAATCACAAAACATTTCTGAAAAACCGGACAAACCAATAGGTAACTGTACCTTAAATTTATAAAACAAATTTATGATATTTTTTATAACTATTAACTTGTTATTAAATATTTACTGAAACATTTTTCAACTAGACAAGGAATTAACCGAAAAATATGACATTTTAGGAAAACATACTGAAAACGAAAAATCTGACTTTACAAGAATTAGGAGTGAGGCAACTCTAATGACTAAAGAAGTTTCAAATTTGTATTCCGAGGCATTAGATGTCTTAAAAAGTAAGTGATTAAATTAATGCATTTTAATTATTTAAGTGGACAATTTAAGAAGACACTTGCTAAATATTACTTTTTTATTCTTACACTTAACATTGAAAGTCATTTAAAAAAGTTGTTAATTTTTTGTTTGTAAAGCTATTTTAAATAACTCAAAGTTTAAAAATTATGTTATACATTTTTACAAATATATTTGTACTATTGTTTTTTATTAYTGTCAACCGAACAAGTATTATTTTTAATGAAACTTTATTTGTAGAGTATTATGAACTAGTAAATGAAACTGTTAATGATGTTCCTCACAAACACAACACTAGCTTTTTGAAGAAATTACAAAAAGTTAACCTGGAAAAAGACGAACTCATTCAAACTGCTAAAGTAAATGCTCAAGAAGCTAGGTAATTATTTTATAATTCTAATATTATATTCATTAACATTTATCAGTTTTGTAATTAATTAGGAAGCGTTTAGATCAAATGCTATATTCATTAGATGATTCTGTATATGATTTAACAAATGATGAAAAAGAAACTATAAGAAATAATATCATGAAGTATAAAATTGAGATCAAAACTTTAGAAAAGAATTTTGAAAATGAAAAAGATGACCTATTACTGTTTAATAAATATAATGGACAAGTTATCAATATTAGAAAACAATTTTCAGTAAGTAAATTGGTTTTATAAAATATACTGTTGATTGTAATGTTGGATCATCTTGCTTTAACAGATATGCTATTAATGCTATTATATTATTTTATTGATTACATTGTTTATTTTCATAGGAAGAGTTACAATCATTATTTCCTCATGTCAGACTCGATGATAAAAATATGAAATTAACAGAYACTGAATTTGATATGTTTGTTGATTATATAACCCAAAAATTACTGTTTTATCAAAATGAATTGTTTAAACAAGAAGTAAATGTATAGATTATTTTAATTTTATTGATTTTTGTTCTTTTCTTATATATTATAAGTTAATGCACGTTGTTGTAAGGCACCATATTATTTATTCAAGCTATTTACATAACTAAATATGCTCTKATTTATCATCTCAGATAATTGATAAACACATCAGTAATACTTAAAATTAATTTATATAAATTAGTAGAGTGCTAAATGTTTCAATATTTTAATTATTCTCAACTAATAAGGTTATTTCTTATTTCTTTAGACATTTGGCGAAGAACAAGTAAATGAAGTTGTTCATGCATTAAAAAATGGTAACCCTGATGCCATTGATAAAGTCTTGGGATTCCAAGTAGAAAAAAATCGTAGAAAACACATTAACAATTTTATTAAAGAAGTAAAAAGTTGCTTAATACKTTGTTACCATTATTTAATTAATTTTTTTTTTTTTAGAGCTTTGGATCAAAAGCAAGTAGTGAGGCGAAATTCAAAGAACAATTAAGATTTCAAACTGAAGTGCACATAGATCACTTAAAAGAAGCTGCTAATTTAGCCGAAAAAGAAGTTGAACGCCGCGTAAATTTAGAGTACTCTGAAAAAGCTGAAACTGAAAAGCTTAAATATAAGGAACAAGTTTTGAGCATGATTGCTGTTATGAATGGCATAAATGATGCAGTAAAAGGTACCTAGTTCATAGTTGTATTTATAAAACATCATTAATACAATAATATTATTAATGCTATTCACTAATTGTTGTAATTAGTCTTAAAGATAATATTTATAAACTTTATTTTTAATAATAACTTAAAACATTTTTCTCATCAACCTTTTATACACACAAATATTTAACTTAAAAGTTATATTCTTGATGAAATGAAAAGAAATAATTTTTTTATGTCTAACTCTAAAATTAACTTTGTAACTTGAAACTTAGTTACTGTAATTATAACTTGTAACTAGTCACACATTTCTCAGGAGAGACCAATGCAATGTACGTTTTACTGTTATAAAATAAAGATTGTGTGGCTAAATATAGAAGCAATGGAAAAGCAATCCTCTTCAGGTCTCACATTTTAAACAGAATTTTCACTTGATGAGATAGCATATTATTTTTACTAAACCAGAATTATGTATAAAATGGTCAATTTCATATTAGTATCTATTAAGATTCTGAAGTTTAATGTCACATATCTTGAACCATGATTTATAAAAATTGTTTTTTAATCTTAATTTTTTTAAATTAAATGTTTATTTTTGTTTATTGTTCTAGAACATTCAAAAAGACGAGTCAAACTTAATGAGTCATTTTATTTATGGACAGCATGTCATTCATTGTTTGCTGCAATTGATACTGATCAAAATGATGCAAAACATGAATTAATACCTTTACAAGAACTAGTAAATAATATTAAAAAATCAGGAGGTGGTATGTATGATTTTTTTAAAACAAAATATAAAACTATGTTGAAATTTTACTATTTTAATTTAGAAAACCATGTAGTAATAAAAGAACTTTTGGATACAATACCTGAAAGAGTATTAACTCGAGGTGTTTATACAGAGGAAACATTAAAAGATAGATTTCTTAATATTGAAGATAAGGCTTTTCACATGGCTTTAGTGCCAGATACCAATGTAAAATTATTTGATTTAGTAACATCATTTATATTTACAATTTTCACCTTCAAATCTCCTGTACCAATTACTGAAGAAGAATTAAACAATAAACCTATTAATGTTAATGAATTAAATAATATTGATATYCTCCAACGAGCCAGGTAATTGTAAATATCATTAAATTATTATTAATTGTGAAATTTAAGTTTCTTTTTGTCTTTAGGTATTGGGTAGAACGAGACAATTATTATCGGGCCTTGCAGTACATGCATTTATTGAAAGGAGGTGCTAAAATTATAGCATCTGATTGGATCAATGAAACTCGTGATTATTTAACAACACAGCAAGCTGCTCATACCCTTTTGGCTTATGCTTCAGAGAGCTTACGATCTCATGTGGATGTTAATAATACATCAATATAATGTGACGTACTCTAATTGAATACATTTTTGTTTTTAATCAWAGGATTGTTGTTAGCTCGCAATTTATTTGTCAGCAGAATCTAATACAAAATGTTTATAAATTAAATTAACAAATTATACAGCTAYAGTACTGCTAATTTTGTATTATTTATTCAAAATATGTTGTTATTAAAATATGTAAATCAAACATCTAGTTTTATTACCTATGTCTTATAGTTAGTTTAAGAACACAATTTGTTTGGTATGTCTTATGCAAAATGTATTTATAAGGTACACAATGATTTCGCCAACAAATGCACTGAAGCCCAAAAACAATCCAAAAAACAAAACCACAAATGCCCCGTAAAATTGTGACATGGAAAGAATCGTGTCCTCGGTAAATACAATGCTGTTTACCAGCTCTTCTTTGAGGTTTGCCCGATCCCATTGCTGCATAATGCCCGTCTCCGAGAGTTGCGACATAATGGTGCTAATCCTATGTCGAAACGGCGATCCTTTTCGAAGCATAAATGTTGACGAATACGATTCGATCACGCACTTGGGCAAGACGTGTAGATGTCTCGAGTCGTTGAAAATCGACTTGTACCTTTGTGCATAAAATATCAGTTCACGTTTGGACGCCAAGACGGCTGTGTCTCTCTTCAACAGTATTCTCTGAATGAGGTGAACGAAGTCTTCGGGTGGCAATATTTGATAGCGGTCGACCAACTCTTTGAAATCGTTGCTGGAGCCCGCCGACGAGTTAATCAGATAGTACATGTCTTGTCTACCGACCAAGTTCAATTCGGTCTTCAGCAGCGTGTGCTGGTCGTTTATTTCTGGAGTAGTTTGCGGTATGGTGATCAGACTGCCCAAATACGCCTGGTACGCACTTGTCAACACCAGGCTGTACAGCAACCAATTGGACAGAAACATTTGCAGTGACCACGATTTTGGCGTGACCTTGATCGGAGCGCTTATGAACGTGCCATACGTGTAGAACAGAATGAACAGTGGACTCCACGGGACCGTAGACTCCGGCAGCTGCAGCGTGGACGCAAGCTGCGAGAGTGCGACGATAACGCCGAACGCCAATATTACGCTCAGTATGATCAATATCCAGATTAATAGTGAGAATTCAGCTATGTAGTTGATCCACAGCATTGGGTCATGACCGATGCCGCTGGGCAAGCCCCACGTGAAACATTCCATCTGGTCTTCCTTGATAAACTCAACGTCGGACTCTCTATCGAAAATCCTCGTGAACCGGCCGAATGCCAAGTCCACCTTTTTGTGTTTCACTTTCATGCTGACCGGCGAACTATCGTTGTCTGACATGGCCGCCGTCTCGGGGATGAAATCCACCCTGGAATGGCCGTAAGCCATGGTAACGATACCGGTGAAGTTCATGTATGCCTGCATGAAGTTAATGATGCGCAAACCTGACCCAGATAGCTGGAAGCCTTTTTTCGTTTGCACTACCGTCGACACGGGTGGCCTGTGTATTCCCAAGCACTTCAATGGACATCTAAAAAATATGCAATATTATGCAGATAAAAATAAAAATAATATTTATTATTAATCCATAATATGTTCGTTGGTTGGATATCTCGTAACACTATACCATATTTAGTTATTTGACATTGGTTTTTCTTATCCTTTAWTTTTATTGAAAATTATTTGAACTTTGAAACGATTATGTAATGTACTAATGTATAAAATAAATATCATATTCATTAAGAATTCGTAATAAATTAATTCAAAATTGACTATTTAAGCTGAAGTCAATTACCACAAGGTAACCAAATAAGTTTAGTATGATTCTTAATTTTAATATATTACTTATG